TTTTGCAGTGTAAGATGTAAGCAAATGTGCAAAACATATTGAAGAAAGCACGAGGACGTCCGATAAGAAGGCCTACTTCTGGTTATGAACAATGAGAATGCGGTAAAGACCAGTGGCACACGACGAAGTATTAAAAAGACACCGGCCAGAAAAAAAAAAGTACGGAAGCGCATTCAGACTTAATGAACATCTTATCAACATCATCTTGTTTTATGATTATGTATACACCCTTTAGAAAAAAAACACCGACGATTCCTCCGGGTGTACTGGTTTTTTTGCACTGAAATCAGGGAACAGTTAAATTTAAATTTTTAACTTTTAACTGTTCCCTGCTGAAATAAAGTTTGTCCTCAAAGGCTATTCCGAATTTCAAGTTAGCCAATTACTTCTTTATTTAGGGCCTACTGATAAATAAATAAATTTACTATATATTTTCCAGTAAGCCAATTACTGTTTCACTTAGGGCCTACTGATAAAATAAATTTATTTTATTTAATAAGGATATTAAAAAAAAGTCCTTTTTGACATAATTATGTTTGAATAGCTTACTGTCTTATATATTTTAGCCATAATATATTATAGGTCTATATAAAACTTTTTTTGTATCAATATGCCTTACAGGATAGCCAGGAGGTGAACTATCAAAGTCAAGTTACTCTCTAATTCCAGTGGTGAGGTAGATCTTTTAAACAGGCTTATGTTAAAAATCAAGTGGATTTCAATAAAGTAGTGCCTACCGTGTACATTATACAATATCATTTATTGGATTTGGGTTTGGATTATTATAATTAAAGTTGTTACATGTTAATATTATAAGTAGGCCCATATCATTTTTATATGATATCTGAGTCTCTTAAAACCTGAAATTTAAGTCTCTATAAAAATATCTTTATTTTTTTCAACTTGAATAGCCCATCTTTATACAAGGTCTATATAGGTATATAGTTCTTTCTGAACCATGAAATTGTTAAAGGCTCGAAANNATATATGTGTGTGTAACATTATTGTATATTGCATAGCTTGTAGATGATGTCACTCATGGTTCATCATGATATGCACTGGATCTAATAATAAACTGGGTTATCTAGGTCGGGATTATTTAGCTTAATTGACAAACTCTCTTAATGCCTTTTCCTATCCACAGGTTTTTAAATCCTTCAATGCATCCACTCTGCATTATTTCAGCCATGAAGGAATTGTTTATTTCCTAAATATTTCTTGGACAAATGAAATCGAATACTGTGAATTATTCTGTCTATGTCGAAAGGTAAAATAATCGCCCATTACACCTTTTATAAATAAACCCTCTTGTATTGTAGACGCAAAGTCGTTTTGATAAATCGTTTACAAAAAGATGAATACAGGTCATATTGACATACATGAAACGTCTTCTGTTTGATTAAATTAACTCTCATTGCTAGATTTGTACTATCATTGCACCCTTGTATTTTAGTTCTAAGTTGAGAGCACACAAACAATTGGTTCATTTATTATTATTATATAAAAAGGCCTGTTAGATAGACAGAACAGTATGGGCAAGTCGATTGAAAGTGAACGATGTTTGCATAAACGTGATATCCAATACTTTTTAAACCCAACATTACGCACGGCGTGTGTGGCGATGAAAGCCAAACTACTGGTAGAATAATGCAAGACTATGTACACAGTAAAGACTCATGTTAAGACCAACAGCGGAGTTTATGTCAGTCAAAAGATACCTTGACCCGTTTCCACGACCTTTAGGATTTTCTATTCATATTCTGCGACAAATTATAAGGGTATCATATCTAAGATAACTGTCGTCAGAAGAAACAGAAAAAAAACTAGTGAGACCAGTCAATTGTAATAATTCTAAAGTAAAATAATATGTAAGGCTTTAAAATAAGCGGCACTGGTCTGTACTTGATCTTTGAATACCTGCATTTCGATTGCTACCTGTACAATTTATTTGGCAATCACGTTTTACTATATACTTTATCAATCCTCATCAAACAAAATTCCTATTCTTAAATTTCACATTTGCATTCTAATCT